CCGACTTCCAAACAGCCCCGTTCAGTTGCACCCCGGGCTCCCTGGAGCTGTCCTGGAGGACCCTAGTGGGCATCATCACAGCTTGTCCCAGCAGCGCCCCTTGGAGGAGACACAGACTCGAAGCAGCCGTGGGTCCCACCACCTGGCCTTTCCCGGGCCAGCAGATGGTGCCAGAGGTGAGAGGTGGCCGTGGACAGCCTGTCCAGAAGGGGACTGGCCATCTGCACCCAGGGCAATGCAAGGAGCCAGTTGGAAATTCCGTCTCGCGGCGGGAGGTGGCCAGCTCTGTTTGGCTGTGAGGCTGCAAGGCCTTTGGACATGGGGCTATAGGGCCGCGTTCAAGCTGAAGTCCTGGAGCAGCAAAGCTTAGGTAGGACGTGGGGGACGGAGGGCCCTCCAGGGAAAGCGGAGCTGCCCCTGGGAGGGCGTCCGTGTTCGTAGCCCCTAGAGGGCGTGCTGACTGCGGAGTCCCCTTCCCCAGTCGGATCGGGGCGAGGGGCTCTGCTTCTTGTGAATCGAGGAGGTCACCAGGGAAAAATCCAAACCTTGTGGAGGGCGACAACTCTTGGGAGCTCCTGCACGAGGCTTCCCTGCCCAGCAGAAAGCCCAGTCTGGACTTCGTAAGAGGAGATGCCATTCGGATGGATTATTGCAAAGTGGGGAGGAGGTGGAGCTCGCGACAGAGGGGGCCATGGCCATAGGAGACCGCGTGGACCATAAACTCTGCAGACAGCTCAAGGTTAGGCAAAAACGGGTTTCTTTTATACGGAGGGGTAAGGCAGGCCAGAAAGCCTGGGAGGGGAAGTGGGCGGACAAGTTCAGGCAGCAGATGACGGAAGGCCTGTGCCGCAGCCCCGCCGAGCCTCAGGAGGGGCTGTCTGCGGCTCACTCCAGGGGCCTGCGTCAAGGGTCTGGGCAAGCAGAGGCGTTTGACCGAAGTTTGGTTAACGAGCGTCTTGTTCCAGCTGCTTTGCGCAGTTCTGCGGATCACGTAGGAGGGCAGAGAGGGAACGTGGAGGGTGTGTGTCTGGCCTTGTCTCGGCTGCGTCCCACGGAGGCAGGGGGCTCCTGGCGGGGCAGAAGCCATTTCCCAGGACACAGAGAGGCGGGGAGCGTCTCACCCGGCTGCTTCCCAGCGGCCAGGGCTCAGGAGACACTCAGCACTGTCAGCTCCTGGGGTCGCTGAAAAACTCCATGGCCAGTGGGTGTTTCAGCGGGTGTCTGCTGTGACCTGGAGCCAGGTGACCCGCCTCTGGGCCCATTCTTTCTAGAACCTTCCTCTCTGCACTGCAGAATGTTTCCGGAAGGTTTGCTGTTAGGAAACCAGGGCTATGCAAAGACACCTGCTTTGGGCTCCCTGGGGATTTTCTCTGAGCCCCGTGCCTGAGGCCTTTCTGTGGGGAGGCTCCAGGGACCGCCCAGAGCTGCAGCCTCTTCCCCACTCCTACTCCCCAGTGGTGGGCAGACTCTGACTTCACTCCCAAAAGGCTCTGTGGCAGAACCCCAGGGCCTCTCATCTGCACAAAGCAGCCTGGAAAAATACTGCCGGGAGCACAGACACTCCACGTGTATTTCTAGATGACAATAAAACATTAGATTTTTAAAAATACGAATTTGACAGAGTTACAGAGAGAGAGATGGGAAGAGACAGGGAGAAAAGGAGATCTTCCATCTTCTGGTTCAATCCCCAGGTGGCCACACCGGCCAGGATTGGGTGAGGCCGAAGCCAGGAGCCAGGAGCTTCTTCCAGGTCTCCTGTATGGCTAGCAGGGGCCAAACACTTGGGGTACCTTCTGCTGCCCTCCCTAGGCTGTTAGCAGGGAGTTGGATCAGGTGTGGGGCAGCCAGGACATAAAGCAGCGCCACAACGCTGACCCCCCAAATAATATTTTTAACAGTATTTAAAAACATTTATTGACTTAATTCTAAAGGCAAAGGGACAGAGAGAGAGGAAGAGACAGAGACCTTTCATTTTCTGATTCACTCCCCAAACGCCCACAACAGCCAGGGCTGGGCCAGGCTGAAACCAGGAGCCAGGAGCTCCATCAGGGTCTCCTATGTGGCTGGCAGGGACCCAAGCTCTTGGGCCATCATCCACAGCTTTCCCAGGTACATTAACTGGAACCTGGATCAGAGGGAGAGGAGCCAGCCTTCCACTACGGGATGCTTCTGTTGCAAGCCACAATCCCTGTGCTGGCCCTGGTTTCTTATATTCTTATCCGTATTATCACTGCTGGAAGGCACAGCTGAGGGCCCAGCACCGAATGAAACACATTACACAGTGTGAGCTCATTCACCAGAATCACACAGCAACCTACGGAAAATCTGAGGCCCTGAGGCCACTTCTTGGCCCAGGTTACAGGCCAGGCAGTGTGGCCCTGTGGCCACAGCCTCGTGTTCCCCACAAACGGTTGTCTCCTGTTTCCAGGGACATGGCGGGGCAGCAGGGCCGTGTTGGGAAGTTAGGGATGTTGTTTGCTGGGGAGGCAAGTGGGCCCAGCCCCCCGGCAGTGCTGTTGGGAGAAACGGGAGGTCTCTCAATGCCCCACGTGCACCGGATTCTGGTAGGAGAGGAGCTTTCCTCGTAAGAGGGTCTCGGAGTGAATGAACTAGAGATTTCATTAAGATAGCTATTGTATGAGCAAACCGGGCGGGCCGGCTGGACAGCTCTTGTGTTTAGGTGTGCCCTTTGTTCAGAAGTGCTTGTTTTAAAATACGATTCGTATCAATTTGGTTACTGCAAAGCAGGTGCAGAGGAGGCCCCGGAACCTGGTGAGGGTAAGGGTAACCACGGCTGCCGCTCGCACGGCCTGGTTTGGAGTTCGTCCTGGGATGCAACAGGGCTGGTGTGAGGCCAGGAGGCAGGACTGACAGGGTCCTGCTGTGTGCTGGGCACTGGGTTAGCGTACGTCATCTCTGATTCTTAGGACAACCACCCGTGGTTACACATGATTGATAAAATACTTGGGTGTTTGGAGCAGGCGTTTGGAGAGAGAACTCGCTCCCAATGGTTCTTTTCTCAAGTGCACATAACAGCTGGGGCTGGGCCAGGCTGGAGCACGGAGCCGCCGGGAACATAACCTGGTCTCACGTGTGCGTGGAGGTAACTCGATTACTTGAACCACTGCCTGCTTGCTGCCTTCCGGGGTCTACACCAGCAGGAACAAGGGTGGACCTGCACGCTGACCGTGAAGAGCAGCCCCTCTTGCACCCTGGCTTTGCCGTCTTTACCTACAAGGGGAAGCACAGGTTGGCTACGAGCTCGCCTGAGCCCTCAGTGCTCCTCAGAGGCGACACCCATGCCCCAGCCCAGAGCAAAACGAAGCAGTTCACGACCGCAGGGAGACGGGCTGGGGTCTGGCAGGTGTTCCAAAGATGTGGGCCCATTGGTCTCAGTAACGACAGGTGTTTAAGAGAAAGCATACGGAGGAGACTCAGCCTCAAGTCCTAGGTTAGGAACCCCGCCTCCACCACCCACTAGCTGTGCAAACTTGAGAACATTCCTTAACCTTGCTGAACCTCAGGTCCTCACAATGGAGCCGAGGGCGGTGTCCGTGTGGCAGAGTTGGGGTGAGGAGGAGATGTGATAATGCTTGTCAAGTGCCTGGCACGCAGCAAAGCCCGCAGTGAGGTTCAGCCACGATTGGCAAAGGTGACCCCCCCGCCCCCGCGGCTCCCAGGGAGGCGGCTCCCAAGGCCCTGCACCCACACTGTCTAGCTGCGTGGGAACACGCTCCAGCCGCACACCGGGTCTCTCAGGAGCCAGCGGATAAAGGAAGTCTGAGCACGGCAGGAAACTGGACAATTCCTCCAGCTCTGTGTTTGCTCTGCACACTGTACCTCCCTGGGCACACACTTGCTGCCTGTCCGCGACACTTCTGAATTCCACTAAATCTCGGGAGAAAGCCAATTTCTCAGCTGTGACATTGGCCATTTCCCCCCTTTTGTTAAAAAAAAAAAAAATGACAAGCAATGTTCTTTCTTGCATCCCTGCAACCGACTCCTCTTTCTCCTCCTCAATTCCTTGGGAGTGAAATCACCCAGGATATAAATAAAATGTTCTAAATAAAGCTCGCTCAACTGCCGCAGCATCAGACGTAGCTGCGTATGCCTGTGACTGTCAGCCAGAATGAATTAACCTCCAGTGGAAGTCATTTTCATGCGATTAATTACTCTTCTGTCAGCTGAAAGAGACAAGTGCACCAGGGCCCGGGACGTGGTGAACTTCCTGAAAAGGCGACCCCGGGCCGGAGCACGGCCGTGGCTTTTGTTCCGATGTTGTTTCTTGCCTCACAGTCCTTATTTCTCAATTACTGCAAAATGAAAAAATGAAAACAAAGGAGCTGACATCAGAGAGAGGTGCAGGGCGCGCTCGTTAAGCAGCAGGAATGCAGCTCTTGTGCGTCAGCTGCGTTTTTGTTCTCCACCTTGGGAAAGGGGGTAGGTAGTCTGGGCTTTGCAGGCTCTAGCCTGTTGACGTGGCGAGTCTGGGCGGCAAGGGTTCTCTCTGTGGCTGTCAGCGTCTCCGAACAAGGAGGGAAAGCAGCAGGATGAACCGGAGAATGGCCGGGTGAGTTTGCAATTGTTGAGTGAAGTCGTCCACATGTGGACTGTTAGGGAGACAGGGGTCCCCAGTGGAGTGCTTGGGGCTCTTTCCTTAGCCTTCTCCTGAAAGCCCCTGAGGCCAAGGCGGAAACACCGCGAAGTGGGAGGAGCTGTAACCACAGTGGTAACTGAATCCGGCCAATCAACCAATCCCCGAAGACTGATGTGATGGGACTATTGCAATGGGGGTAAGAAAAAAAAAAAAAAACACAGCATACAAAACATTAACTTAAAGTAAGCTGACAATCTTAACCTCAGTCGTTTGGCTTCAAATATACTCTTCGAATACAAGCAGCATGCAACCCTATTTTAAATCCAACTTGATGCTTGACAGGCGAGATGAACCCCACTCTACCAGGACGTAATGCTGACATCTCACGTTGGGGTTTTCCGTCTGCTGTGTTTTCCCCCTTTCTTTCCTTCCTTCTGTTGGAATGATGACCTTTTCCCTGTTCTTTTTTCATCCTTCCACTCTTCTGGAAACAACAGCTCATCTTTCGGTTCCTGCACTGTTGCCCGTATGTTTTTAAGGCTCCTGTGCACGACACTGTCCTCCCAAGCCTGAAGTTGTTCTTGTAAGCAACAAAAGGGCCTTTGCCACTTCTGCCTCTTCCCTTCCGTTTTCCATGTTATTGCTCTAGTGAAGTTCACATCCGTCTTTGTAATTGCTTTGTAAAAAGTCAGTAGCTAAGAAGATTTGTTGACCCACTTAGTGACAAAATGACTTAGTCTTGATTTTGTACATCCCACGCCTTCTCAGCGTGCACTTTTCATTTTGCTAAGGTGCATCCTTTAGTAGCTCTCTCATGGGAAGCTGAGGCCATCTGTGGACATAAACTCTTCATGCTTTTTAGGCATGAAAATATCTTTCTTTGGCCTCATGTCTTGCATGATAGCTCATCAGGGTATAGAATTCTAGATTGCCGGTTATTCTTCCTCTGTTGTTTTATGCTTCTTGGCATTTAATGTTGCTGATGAGATGGCTGATAATTGTCTTTGTCTTGTGAGTGTATCCTGCTGGTAGGTCCGAGCCTTTTTCTGTTTATCCTTCGTAGTCTGCAGTTTCACCAACATTGTCTGTGTGAATTCATCCTGCTCGCTGTGAGATGTGAAATTTATAACAAAGGAGACAGTTGGAGAGACAGCCCTTGTTCTTGGACAAGAAGGCTCGACGGCATAAAAATGTCAGTGCTCCCCGGGTTGATACGTACACTTATTACAATCCATAAAAATGCCAACTTTTTTTTCTGGAGTTAAATAAGTTGGTTTGAATGCCCAAATGGAAAGATAAACATACAAAAATAGGAAAGCCATAAAAAGAGAAAAACTCTACTAAGAATGTGGCACTGATGCATAAAGACCAGTGAAATAGAAGTCTAGAAATAGACACGGGCACATGTGAAAATGTAGCGTGTGGTCCACAGGACTTCTCCATACCTGGAGAAGAGACAGACTTTGTAACAAATGGTTTTGTCATAGGTATTTGAAAAAGGATAAAATTAGATCCCTTTGTCACACCGTAAACTAGAACACAACTACAACGACCTAGAAATCTAAATGTAAATAACGAAACCACACAAGTGCTTTTAAAATGATGGATGAATTCATTTATAATCGGTGCAAGCAGATATCCTGTCTATGGTAGACAAAATCCAGTTCCAAAACATTGAAAGGTTGACAATTTGTGTGCGTGATTTTTAGAAAAATCAACATAGAGGCTGGCATTGTGGCACAGTGGGTTCAGTCACTGCCTCAGAGGCCAATGTCCCGTATTGGAGCGCCAGTTTAAGACCCAGCTGCTCCCCTTCCAATCCAGCTCCCTGCTAGTGTGCCTGGGAAGGCAGCGGAAGACAGCTCAAGAGTTCGGGCCCCTACCATCCACGTGGGAGACCAGGAAGGAGTTTCTGGATCCTGGCTTTGGCCTGGCCCAGCCCTGGCTGATGCAGCCTTTCGGGGAGTGAACCAGTGGATGGAAGCTCTCTTTCTCTCTCTCTGTCACTCTGCCTTTCAAATAAAGAAACTAAATATTTTTTTAAAAAATCAATATAAACAAAACCAAAACAGGCAACTGAGTCACTGGGGATCATAATTATAACACGCAGTAGAGATAAGGGGCTGATCTCCCTAATGCACGTCTTCAATTAGGAAAGGCCAAAATCTCGATTGAAAAGTGAGCAGAGGACAGAAATGCACAGTTCACGAAAGCTGGGATAAAATAGGCCGTTCAGACACAGGAAAAGACGAGAAATAGAAATTGAAACCACGTGACATCCCAGTTCTTTTTTTTTTTTTTTTTTCCAACTATTTATTTCTTTGAAAGGCAGAGTCACAGAGAGGCAGAGGCAGAGAGAGAGAGAGAGAGAGAGAGAGAGAGAGAGATCCCCCATCCACTGGTTTACCCCCCAAATGGCTGCAATGACCAGAGCTGGGCCTCTCTGAAGCCAGGAGCCAGGAGCTTCGTCTGGGTCCCCTCACGCGGATGCAGGGGCTCACGCACTCGGGCCATCCTCCTCTGCCCTCCTCCAGGCCATAACAGAGAGCTGGATCAGAAGTGGAGCAGCCAGGTCTCGAACCAGCGCCCACCTGGGAAGCCGACACTGCGGAAGGTAGCATTCTGCGCTACGCCACAGCGCCGGCCCCGGGGTTCCATTTCTTACCGTTCACTTTGGCAGATGTAGATGATCTCTACCCTCTGTTAGGAAGGTTGCTGGGGCAGCCCTTGCACCGTTGTTGGGTAAGTGCAAAATGCATAAAGCCGGGCCGGCGCCGCGGCTCACTAGGCTAATCCTCCACCTAGCGGCGCCGGCACACCGGGTTCTAGTCCCGGTCGGGGCGCCGGATTCTGTCCCGGTTGCCCCTCTTCCAGGCCAGCCCTCTGCTGTGGCCTGGGAGTGCGGTGGAGGATGGCCCAAGTGCTTGGGCCCTGCACCCCATGGGAGACCAGGAAAAGCACCTGGCTCCTGGCTCCTGCCATCGGATCAGCGCGGTGTGCCGGCCGCAGCGTGCCTGCTGCGGTGGCCATTGGAGGGTGAACCAACGGCAAAGGAAGACCTTTCTCTCTGTCTCTCTCTCTCACTGTCCACTCTGCCTGTCAAAATAAATAAATAAATAAATGCATAAAGCCCACAGCCGGGAATCTGTACGCCCCTCACCTCACTGACCCACCCCACGCGGAGGAGTTGGCCCTGCAAACACTCCTCCACAGGTAGGAGACAACGGATGAGTAAGCCCATTACCCAGCCCTGGTTTCCACTGGAAACAACCCGAATGCCATTCAGAGGAGGCTGATCCAGTAAATGATGATGAATCTGTGCAGTAGATTGCTACGCGGCTGGAAACAGCCGTGAGGAGGGTACAGCCGTGAGGAAGGTTTCTAGGGACTCGGCTGGAACAATTTCCAGGATATATTGTTAAGCAGAAAGGAGCCGCGCACCGGGGGACGTGACCACCTGCTGGGTTTCATGCGTCTCTATGTGAGTGCATTTTTTTCCTGAAAAGGAATACAGGAAAGATAAACCAGAAATCAATGAGAGAAATTATCCATGAAGTTTAGGGGGCTGGGGTGAAAGTAACAGGGATGAGAATGAGGCTTTTTAAAGTTTTAATAGTTGGGTTGATATCTGTCGTACTTAGAGATATCTTTCTATTTATAGCCCTGTTCCTTTTGTTTTTATTTTTCGGTTCCCCTTTTTTTCTGACCTCTATAATTCTTTGTACTTATTTTTCACTTGATTTAAAAGGCAGAAAACCCCACACACACTGAGTTAGAGACAGAGGAAGGAAGAGATGTTCCATCCACTGGTTCACTCCCCCCAAAAGGCTTAAAACAGGGCTTAAACAGCCCTTACAAAAGGGCTGGTCCAGGCTGAAGCTGGCAGTCTGAACCTCTCCCAGGTCTCCCAGGTGGGTGGCAAGGACCCAGATGTTTGCCCCATCGTCTGCTGCCCCCCAGAAGGTATTAGCAGGAAGCTAGAGTTGGAAGCAGAGTTGGAACTCCAACCAGGCGCTCCAATATGGGACGCAGGTGCCCCCCAAGCAGCAGCCCAACTGCTGTACCCCACGCCTCTCCCCTTTTACACGTTGTAGGGCTTTAGCTAAACATCTTGCAAGACTCCATTTTCCCTCCTCTGTTGGCATGTCAGCCATTCTTCCTTTAGGAGGTATTTCGGTGCTTACAGAACGCATTTGCCACTACTCCAGGTCCCGTCTCAAATAACGCCGCCTCCTGCTCCTGATCCAGTAAATGATGATGAATCTGTGCAGTAGATTGTGCAGGGCCCTCGGAACAGAACGCTCTCAATGGCTCCCTCACGACCCTCAGAACACTGTGGCCACACATGTCACTGACCACGGGCATCGGCAGGCAGCTCGAACCGGGAGGAGAGTTGGGCGTGGAACCCAGGCAGCCTGGGAGGGGACGCGGACCCCGCATGGGCCAAACACCCACCTCTCTTCTTCCCTGTGTCGCTGTGTGCAGAAGTCCAGCCTGGTGGATTTTTCCTTCGGTCTGTTTCACGTCACTGCTTGCACAGTCCTGAGAGAAGTCGCATGTGATTCTTATCCTTGTTCCTGTGCAGGGTAAGGTATTTTCTTCCAGCTCAAGTCAAGATTCGGTCTTTGCCTTTCGTTTCCTTCACTTTGAATGCTACGTGCCTGGGTGCACTTTTTGTAACCTGCCCTCCTGGGTATTTCCTGAGGTTCCCGGAACTGTTGTCGGTCACAGTCATTAATTCTGGAAAATTCTCATCTGTTAGCACTTCACACATTTCCTGTTTCTTCTCCTTCTGATATTCCCACCACACGATGCTGCCTCTTTTGCAATGGTCTCACTGTTTGTGAAAATTTGTTTTTTTTTTTAAAAATTCATTGTGTCTCTCTCTCTCTCATTTCAGTTTAGGACATTTCTACAGGCATATTTCAAGCTCACTGATTCTCTCCACGATGGTGTCCGGTCTACAGTAGATGGACCCAGCAAAGGAATTCTTCATTTTTGTCCCAGCATTTTCTGTCTCCAGCAGTTCCTTCTGACTGCCCGCTGCTTCCATCACCCACCTGTTCTTGCATGTTGTCCATTTCCTGTATTAAATCCCTTACCATAGTAACCACAGCCACTTTTAATTCCCAGCCTAATGATTTCAACATCTGTATCACATCTGAGTCTGGTCCTGACCCTGCCTGTCTCCTGTGTGTGTGCGTGTGTGTGTGTGTGTGAGTGTGAGTGTGTTTGTGTGTGTTTCTGGCCTTTTAGCCAGCCTGTAATTTTTTTGCAAAGTCAGACATGATGCATCAGATAATAGGAGATGAGGTCAACAGGCTTCGGTGTGAGGTTTTGTGTTTATCGGGCTGAGGGTTGGACATACGTCCGAAGCTTCCATCTCTTCCAGTGTGTTTAGTTTTTTCCTTTGGGTTTCCCTAGAAACTTCCTTTTAGAAAGTCTGTGTCTTTCAGGTGTGCCCCACTGCTGTTATCCTGAATCCCGCTGGTGAGGTGGGGAGACCCTGAGGAGCAGAGACAGCTGTAATCATAGGATTAGGTCTCGGGGGTGTTTTTCAGAGCCTGTCGGAGTCCTGGGCTGCGACCTTCAGAGGAATCTCTCCTTCTCTGTTTTTTCTCCTCTTATGCGAGACATGGACACCAGAGTGGGGCCGGCTTATGCCACTGCCCTGGCCCTCCATCTGAGAAGATGGTAGGTGTCCCCTGGGAGCAGGATTTGTTGTTGAGAACAGAATTTCCTATGAGTATTTTTAGATGATGGCTTTTTGCTTTGGCTGCCTCGAGCATGTTGGAATCTTCTCCAACCCGCACAGAGAGAACCTGCGGAGTCTCTTGGAGGTCGAGTGGGGCCCCTGGGCCTGGGCCTCCGGCAGTCGGAGCGCGACTCCCCCCAGTGATCAGGCCCTGGCCCAGCGGCCTCTGCTCTCCACGGCCGTGAGGTTACTCTTCGCGTTCACCCGAGTCTCCGAACTTCAAGGCAGCGTTTGGCCCCGGGGCCTCACTTCCGTGATGTTGGTTTTGTTGATTTTCAGTTTGTTCAGCTTTTTTCTTACTGTGAAATCTTCTGAGCCTTTTACGTGTGACAGCTGAAACTCGGAGTCTGTTTCCTTTTTTTAATTCCTATTTTGCCCAGTTTTCTTTTGGTTGTTTGATCATTTTTGGCAATTCCATCTTGATTGACTGATTTATAGTGCTTTGTACATTTCTTGGTTGTTGCTCTAGGTGTTACATTATATACATGTAACATTTCACTGTCTGCTGGTGCTGATATTTTATCAGATTGTAGAACGTGGAATCTTAATTCTTTTTATGTCCTTTTGTGCCCTCACATTTATGATGAAGTCGTCTCTGCATTCCTTAAGAAAGACATCAGAGGGGTCGGTGCCATGGCTCACTTGGTTAATCTTCCGCCTGCGGCGCTGGCATCCCATATGGGTGCGGGGTTCTAGTCCCGGTTGCTCCTCGTCCAGTCCAGCTCTCTGCTGTGGCCCAGGAGTGCAGCGGAGGATGGCCCAAGTGCTTGGGCCCTGCACCGGCATGGGAGACCACGAGAAGCACCTGGCTCCTGGCGTAGCTCCGGCCGTAGCGGCCATTTGGGGGGTGAACCAACGGAAGGGGGGCCTTTCTCTGTCTGTCTGTCTGTCTCTCTCTCTCTCACACTGTCTAACTCTATCTGTCAAATAAAAAAAAAAAAAAAGAATGACATCAGAGTTACAATTCTTGCTTCAACCATAAAGAATAATTCAGAAAATGCAAGAGAAAAAGCAGGCCTATTGCGTTCCTTTGTCTTTCCTGTCCGAGACACCTTGCCCCCGTTCCTTCCTGCTGGGAGGCTGTCTGTGAGCCTCCCCTCTGGCACAGGCAGGCGAGCTCTGCTACCCGGCTGTCCCTCCATTCCTGGAGGATCCGGTCACGGGATGCAGAATTCCAGATTGACAGCTCACAAAAAGCGCCCTGCCACTTCCTGCTGACGTCTGTGGCGTCTGGCAGGAAGTCGACCAGCGTGCAAACTTCTCCCCGTAGGCAAAGTCTCCCTGTGTCTCTCCGCTTTCTTTTTTTCTTGTGTTTTATAATCAGGGTTTTCACAAACTTGACTGTGACCTGGTTTTCTTCTAGTTTACCCTGATTGGGGTTACTCAGATTCTTAAATTTGAAATGTGATGTTTTTTTGCCAAGTGTGGGAGCGTGTTCTCTCCCAACGTCTTCTCTCCCGGGCTCTGAGGACACGGATGCTAGATCTTCCGTCCTAGCTCCCAGACCCCTGCGGCTCTCTTCTGCTTTCTCCAGTGTCTGTTCTCTGCTGCTCTGAGTGGCTGACTCCCATTTTTCCTGCAAGTTCACTAATGCTTTCCTCTGTCGTTTTCATTCTTTTGTTAAGTAATTTTTATTTTGGTTGCTGTAAGTTTTTTTTTTTAATTTTTCTTTTTAAAAAATATCTTCTGTTTTTGTCCTGAAACTTTCTATATTTCCATTCATTTCAAGGGTGTTCAGAATTGCACACTGAAGCATCCTGTAATGGAGTTTTTTAAAGTCTTTGTCAGGTAGGGGTCGGCATTGTGGTGCAGCAGGCCAAGCCATAGGCTGTGACGCTGGCATCCCATATGAGCACTGGCTGTTTCTACTTCCGATCCAGCTCCCTGCTCATGTGCCTGGGAAAGCAGCAGATGCTGGCCCAAGTCCTTGGGCCTCTGTACCCATGTGGGAGACCGGAATGGAATTCTAGGCTCTTGGCTTCAGCCTGGCCCTGCCGTAGCTTTTGTGGCTATTTGGTGAGTGAACCAGCATTTGGGAGAACTCTCCCTCTCTCTTTGTCTCTCCCTCTCTATGTAACTCTACCTTACAAACAGATAAATAAATCTTTTTTTAAAGATTTATTTTATTTATTTGAAAGGCAGAGTTACAGAGAGAGGTAGAGACAGAGAGAGAAGTCTTCTGTCCATTGGTTCACTCCCCAATGGCTGCAATGGCAGGAGCTGTGCCGATCCAAAGGCAGGAGCCAGGAGCTTCTTCCGGGTCTCCCATGCGGGTGCAGGGGCCCAAGGACTTGGGCCATCTTCTACTGCTTTCCCAGGCCACAGCAGAGAGCTGGATTGGAAGAGGAGCAGCCGGGACTCAATCCAGCGCCCATATGGGATGCTGGTGCTTCAGGCCAAGGCATTAACCTGCTGCGCCACAGCGCTGGCTCCCAGATAAATAAATCTTTAAAAAAAATCTTTGTCAGATAATCCCAACATCCATGTCACCTCAGTTCGCATCTGTCTCAGTTTGCCAGGACCGCCGTGACCAGTGACCAGAAACTAGGTGACTTGGGACAACAGAGACGGAGTCCCTGGTGTGAGATCAAGACCTCCGTGGAGCTGGTTCCTTCCGGAGGCTACCGCGGGAGCAGCTGCCCCGTTCTTTCCTGTTGGCCTCTGGTTGCCGTGGGCAGCCGTATTCCCGTAAGTGGAGCTGTCTACTCCAGGGGTTTTTCAATTTTTTTAAAAAACTTTCTTTTTCCCTCTTTCTTTTTGGTTGGGTTTTCCATTTTTAAAAGCTTTTTTCTTCATCCTTATCTGCCAAGGGTTTGTCCGTGATTTGGTCTTGCTCTGGGCGCCAGCGTTTGCGCCTTGATCTCCGAGGATCAGGGTTATGCTCAGGTCAGGTCCCCCGCAGAGTGCGGGCACATCTGCATTTCCAATGCAGGGAAGTTTGCTTCCATCCTCTGCAGCAGGTGCTTTGGAATTCCAGTCTGGAAACTCACCTTGAATAGAAGGGGTGTGTGTGTGTGTGTGTGTGTGTGTGTGTGATGTTTGTGCATGTGTGTGCATGTGTGTGGTATGTGTCTATGTGTATGTGTGTAGGTGTGTGTATGCACATGTGGGGAATATGTGGGTTTGTGGTATGTGTGTGGATATGTTTAGGTGCATGGTGTGTGTATGTATATGTGTGCATGTGTATGTGTGTGGATGTGTCTGTATATGTTTATGTGTATAGTATGTGTGTGTATGTGTGTATATGTTTGTGTGAGCAGTGTGTATATGTAAGAGTGTGTATGTGTGTATGTGAGTGTGTGGATGTGTGTATATGTTTATGTGAGCAGTGTGTATATGTGAGAGTGTGTGGATGTATATGTGTGTGTATGTGTGTGATGCATGTGTATGTGTGTGGATGTGTCTGTATATGTTTATGTGTATAGTATGTGTATGTGTGTATATGTTTATGTGTGCAGTGTGTATATGTGAGAGTGTATATGTATGTGTATGTGTGTGATACATGTGCATGTGTGTGGATGTGTCTGTATATGTTTATGTGTATAGTATGTATATGTGTGTGTATGAGTGTATATGTTTGTGTGTGCAGTGTGTATATGTGAGAGTGTGTGGATGTATATGTATGTGTATGTGTGTGATGCATGTGTATGTGTGTGGATGTGTCTGTATATGTTTATGTGTATAGTATGTGTATGTGTGTGTATGTGTATGTGTATATATGTTTGTGTGTGCAGTGTGTATATGTGAGAGTGTGTGGATGTATATGTATGTGAGTGTGTGGATGTGTGTATGTTTGTGTGTGCAGTGTGTATACGTGAGAGTGTATATGTGTGTGTATGTGTGTGATACATGTGTGTATGCATATATGTGTGTGAGTGTGTGGATGTGTGTATATGTTTATGTGAGCAGTGTGTATACATGAGAGTGTGTATGTATGTGTATGTGTGTGATACATGTGTGTGTATGCATATGTGTGTATGTGTATGTGTGTGTGTGTATGTGTTCCCTCTCTCTGGAGTCACCGCCGTCTGACCAGCAGTCCTGCAGCCGCCTCCATGGAGCCCACCGAGTCACAGAGTGGCCGTGCCTCGTACTGGGGGCCCACAGGGCCATGGTGGGATGTGATCTGACACCAGCTCAGCTCCACGGATGCCCCCGTTCCGTGCTGCCACTCAGCAGATTGCCCTGGGCCGCTGTTGCCGTGTTTCGGTCTCTTCTCGTGACGGGGAAAGCCCTCCCGAGGCCACGCTCAGTGCTGGAACACACGGCGTGGGGCGGGGGGCTCCGTGACCCCTGTCATGCAGGATTTCACGCCCCAGGCCTCGACATGCTTCCCAAAGGCAGTGAAGTCTTCAGAAATACTTTTACCCTTTCCTCCGCGGTTCCGGGGCGGAAGGAGGAGAGCGAGTGTGGACTCAGGACGCTGTTACGGGAAGTGGCCTCCTGCCTGCCCAGAGCTCGGAAGGGCAAGTGCAGCTCCACAGCGCACAGATGCCGTGGCATTCCAGTTATCTTAATTAACTCCTCACCAGGCGTTTGCTTGATAACTGTATTAAGCCTGGATCATAATAACAACCCTTTGGAAGCTTACTTACCAATACTTTAGGTGTTTCAATCAAAAAACTTAAATTGCAAAATTACATATTTCGGGTGTGTTTTAACTCGGGCAACAAAAGTGAAGAGGCAACACAGAATCTCTGAACATCGATGAACTTCCTGCTCCTATGCACAATTATAGTGTTTTCGAAAAATCACAAAAAAGAAGAGGCTGTGATATTTCCCCTCTTCACGGCAATCCTTCCCCTGGCTTCGACTCCAGAGCCAGGCAGGGTAACTGCTACCTGTTGTGATTGGTGTTCACTTTCAGCGTGGGTGATCAGCCAGAATGTGTGTGGACAAAAATAGCGATTTTGCCCACCCCCAATCCTCTTCCTTTTAGGTCCCCCACCACCGCTTCAGTTTGCCCGTAATTGTACCGTTCCCATAACAACAGCCCGATAACTGGATCTTGGTGCAGGGCTTCTAACAGGGTTGTCCGCAAAGCCGTTGGCAATGCCGTAAGACCCTGTGTAGCAGCATCTCACAAAAGAGACAGCTTTCGGGGGAACGATTCTTGGCAGCTCCAAATCAAACTTGCAGCCGATTACGGCCGCTGCGGGTCTGCACCGAGGCACAGCGGCCCGTGTTTCTCCTGCGTTCCTCCCAGGTGCTCAGCCTTAGCACTGTCGTTCTCTCGTGGCCTGTCTGGGACACAGAAAAATTCACACACAGAGAGAAAACACGCAACAAAAGCCCTCTGTGTGGATTGTCCCACATCGCGGTCATGATCAGGGGACAGCATTCTCCTGAGGTCTCGCGGCTGCCGGCTGTTACGCGGCAGCTCCGGGAATCCAGACACCTTTATGCACATGTATCTTTCCCTCTTTATTTGTGCCGAGCCACTGTGTGATTTTTGGGGAGCAAATGTGTTGTTCAGGGAACGGGCGCTGGCTGGAGGGGAAGCTGCCTTTGTGGGGGCCTGCGGGGCGCCTGCACCTCAGGTCAGGGTCTCCCCACCTGCAGCTGTGTCGACTTGCTGCTCATAGCAAGACAGCCACTGCGCATAATCCCGCAGTGGAATGTCACGTTCTGTGGGAATTTAGGCCTGGGGCTGTGCAAGCTGAGACGATGGTGGCAGGGACAAGCAATCCTGCTCATCTTCAAACGCTGTCGCAGGGTCGGTTACCACTGCAGTATTGTACCTGAGCCACAGGTGTGATAGCCATGGAGGGAACTGTGAACACAGAGCCCCTTTTCCATAGAGCGGACAAGACTCCCCTCCAGCCTCGCCGAGGGCCAGGGTGCACAGGGCTGGAGGTGGCCATGACTCCTGGGAGCAGGGTGACTCCGAGACCAGTGCCCCTCAGAAATGCATCATTTTGGATGAAAATTAAGTTTCTAAGCTGACCGGCTTCTGTGCTGATCATTACCACTTGCAGAAGCCACTGTCATTTTCCCGGCAATTGCTTATTTCACTAACACCTTGGCCGATCTCGCTTGCGTTGCAGGACGCATGACTGACTGTGCAAAGTGTGCAGCACAGGCTGGTAGCAACGGTGTCGCCTGGGCTGGGGAGAGACTCAGGCCGCAGGGCTTGCCCAGGCATCCTGAGTCGGACTCTGGGTGTAACGGGTGACTGGGGCCTGTGGGAGTTCGGGAGGCACCGTTGTACCAGCTGCCCGGCAAGTCCTCGATTGCTCTGGTCTCTGCCTTTCCTTGGCCGGGAAGAGTCTCGTGGTCACCTCCTGCGAGCAATGCTTTGGGGTTTTAGTTTGAAAGCTCATCTTGAGTAAGTGCGTGTTTGTGTCTGTCCACATAGCTATGTGCATGCGTGTATGTACTCAGGCACATTCGTGTATACGTGTGTGCATGTGTTTCTGTTCCCCTGAGGCCTGCTATGTTCAGTTAAGAAGAACGTGAAGACTCCCAGGTAGATCTGCCTGGGTCCTGCCCCAGAACTGGCTGACAAATGAACCCATCTCTTGGAGCCTCAGTTTTTCGTCTGTTCGCTGGGCACAAGGATACCAACCACACTTAGTTGTGGTGAGAATAAAAGCACTGTCCAGAAGGCCTCTGGCCTGGTGCCTGGCACATGGTGTACATTTCATCAGCCGCCCAAGATTACGGTTGTCTCGAGTGTTTACAGAAGGCTCTGGGCATCATAATGACAGGCAACGAGGTAGCCAGCAAGGAGACAGCTGAGGTCACCAGCCCTCCCCATGACCCCGCCAACTCCATGCAAAACCTTCCCTGTTTTCGGCAGTGACTAAGGTAACCCCAAACCATTATTTTTACAAAACCACCACCCATACCAGCACTGGCTGAAAATGTCCAACATGGCTGCTGACCATGTCCCTGAGGTGACCCATAGCTAATTATAATAACATCTCCATGGCTGACACTCCTACTCCCAGCATGCACCTGACACCCAAAAGATAAAAACTGGGAAGCATTCGAGCCCCGCCTCCTGTGAATCTTCTACTCCTTCTCTCTCTCTTTTTATTTTTTTTTTTTACTTCTTCTTCTTTTTTTTTTTTTTTTTAACAGCCAGAGTGGACAGTGAGAGAGAGACAGAGAGAAAGGTCTTCTTTTGCCATTGGTTCACCCTCCAATGGCCGCCGCAGTCGGCGCACCACGCTGATTTGATGGCAGGAGCCAGGTGCTTCTCCTGGTCTCCCATGGGGTGCAGGGCCCAAGCACTTGGGCCATCCTCCACTGCACTCCCTGGTCACAGCAGAGAGCTGGCCTGGAAGAGGGGCAACCGGGACAGAATCCAGTGCCCCGACCGGGACTAGAACCTGGTGTGCTGGTGCCACAAGGCGGAGGATTAGCCTAGTGAGCCGCGGCGCAGGCTCCTTCTCTCTCTTGAGCTCACTGGGAAGGAATCCCCAGAGCTCGTGTGCAGCTCTCTCTCTCGGGGCCTAGAACGCCTCCCTCTCCAGTCTGTGGTTTCATTTTGCTAATAATAACCGCATTCCTCTGCTAACCTTCACTTAATCTCATCCCTGAACGCTTCCTGTGTCAGAGGCACGAGCCTGGAGCCCGCCGTTTGACCAAGAGAGCAGCCTTTGATCTCACGAAGCTTGAGTACCCCTGGGGCAAGACATCCACAAGATACGAAGTCAGGAGTGAGCGGTCGGCAGGGCCTGCGCTCAACACTGTGTCTCAGGGGAGAAGGCAGGGCCCAGGGCACCTGCAGGAAGACCGGCCGGGGCGGGACACTAGAAGTACCTGCCTGTGGGGGTGGGGCACAGCTCTGCCCCTTCTCCAAGAGAGGCCCTGAGGGTTCCGCTTTGTTTTTTGCTTTTTTAAGGAGCTGAGATTTTTTTTTTTTTTGAGATTTGGTTTTTTTAAAAAAGATTTATGTATTTGTTGGAGAGGCAGAGTTACAGACAAGAGGGGGAGAGAGACAGAAAGATCTTCCATCCGCTGGTTCACTCCCCAGATGGTCACAATGGCCGGAGCTGGGCCAATCTGAAGCCAGGAGCCAGGAGCTGCTTCTGGGTCTCCCACGTGGGTACTGGAGCCCAAGGACTTGGGCCATCTTCCACTGCTTTCCCAGGTCACAGCAGAGACCTGGATCAGAAATGGAGCAGCCTGGTCTCACACCGGCATCCATATGGACTGCTGGTGCCACAGGTGGAGGCTTAACCTCTTTTGCCACGGCGCTAGCCCAGAGGTTAGATTTTTCGTCTTTGGGAAGCTCTGTCTTCCTTCTTATTTCACGTTAGAGTCTCAGCAGGCGTGGAGGATGGCTCGGAACTTTCTGGCTGCTGCTCAGAAGTCCCCTACAACTTCATCACAGATTTGGAAGGATGGAAGTTTCACAAATGAATTCAAGGAAGACTTCCTGGAGGTGGTGACCCAAGTATTGGTCCTCTACAAATAAAGAGGCAGAAGGAGACTCGGGCAGATCCATGCTACCCAGTTCTGGCAGAAACCTGGATGTAGATTTCCATGTGTGAATGATCTCTCGACTGAGACAAATTTAAGCCATCTGGGACCTTGGGTGACTGTTAGATGGGACTGGAGTGTTTTGGGTTTGTGAAGTTCAAGAGCAGCGTGTGCTGGCTTCTGACAGAGAGAGGAAGGCTCGGCGGATGGAGAAGTTTGTCCTCCTTGCTGCTCTTCCGGCTCTGGGCCAGCCCAGGGTGTTCAAACCGCAAGAACAAGGATGCTTGTCTGAAGACAAGACAGCAGCCGCCCCTCGCCCTTGGCAAGACGCAGCCGGAGCAAAGGACGCTTGGTGTCTGACAAGTCCAACGCCGAGCGTGTGTGCCCACTCGGCTCAGTCCAGCCCATGCCGGAGGAGGGTCTGCCTGTGCCAGGCCGGCAGCAGGGACAGCCGGCTCCAACCCTGCCCAGCGAGCCTGCAGGCGGTTTCAAAGTCCTGGCTGCAGGATGCTGGCTTGCCGGGCATCCGTTCTCCCTCCGGCTCAGCCAGTCCCGCGCTTCCTGAGCACCGGCTGTGTTCCCGGCACGGAGCTGAGTTCTGAGACTGGAGCGTGCTACCAAATCAGGGAAGCTGGCCGACTTGGTGGAGGCGGGCTGGATGCGATGTGAAGACCAAATCCCCCAGTACTTGACAAACAGGCTAGGATTTGCAACTGCCGAGCTCCATCGTGCAGCGTGAAAGCAACCGTGCGCAGTCCGGAAAGAGCGAGCGTGGCAGAATTCCTATAAAACTTTATTTACAAAACCGGGCAGCAGGCTGCATTTTGCCTGCCAGCTGTAGTCTGCCAATGGCTGTTCCAAATGGTCACATCTCAGTACCGTAACACACAGGAACCAGAAGCAGGAGGAACCACACGAGCCCAGCCATCCATCCATTCTCTGTAGGAACTGTCTCTACGCTGTCTCTGGTAAGTTGTGGGCCAACTTCTGCTCAGGCGTGGGAATCTTACTGTGTGGATAGTACTCACGCGTGTGGGATCTTCTCACGTGTGGATAGTTCTCGTGGCTGGAAAGTCTCCACTGAGCGCAACTGGGTTGACTTCTAACTTCCATTCACGCTGTTTCCTCCCTGGGGCGGAAGCGTGCCACCTTTCTCCCAGCAGCCGTCCCCCACAGGATACGGCTCCTACCCTGCAGCCTCCCTGAGGCTCTCCCAGGGCTGTGCTGCATTAGGTGTATTTTTCAACATTTTATTCAGCAAATCTTCAAGCATGCATTCGTTTGAAGAACTGGAGGGGTGGGTGTTGTGGGGCAGTGGTTAAGCCACTGCCAGGGACAGCTGCATCCCATATCTGAGTGCCTGAGCGCCGGCCCCTGCTCTGCCTCTGGTCCAGCTTCCTGATGTGGGCACCCTTGGAGGAAGCAGGGGATGGCTCAAGTACTTGGGCCAAATCTGCGGGGGACCCAGATGAAGTTCTGGGCTCCTGGCTTCAGCCTGGCCCAGCCCTGGCTGTTTACAGGTATATGGGGAGTAAACCAACAAATTGAAGATATTCTCTCTCTCCTTCTCTCTCTCTCTCTCTCTCTCTCTCTCTCTCATCCACTCTACCTTTCAAACAAATAAATGACAAAAAGAGAATTATATAGTGGACATCCATCTACATGCTAGATTCTGTTTACATTTTGTTATACTTGTTTTATTATGTATCCATTTATCCATGCCTACCACTGAGGCCCTGCAAAGGAAGTTGGAAGCATAATGTCACACACACACACACACACACACACACACTTCCCATTACCCCAACAAGCATAGCATTGTCAAGAGTTCTGCTTTTTCTAATTTGGAGATAAAGTTCATATGCAATGGAGCACATAAATCTTAAGTGTACATTGCCTGAGCTTTGACAAATGCACACTTCAAACGCCTATCAAAATTTAGAAAAATACTCTAACTTCCCAAACTTCTCTTATGCTCCTGCCAGATGCTTGCCTCTGTAACCTTTTAGAGGGAACAACTGTACTGATTCTTTCTGCTTGTTCTTTAATTTCATAAGAACAGAATTATACAGAATGAACCCTCCAGGGGCTGGTGCTGTGGCACAGTGGGTTAAAGCTCCAGCCTGCAGTGCAGGCATCCCATATGGGCGCCGGTTCCAGTCCCGGCTGCTCCTCTTCCAATCCAGCTCTCTGCTGTGGCCTGGGAAAGCAGCAGAAGATGGCTAAAGTCCTTGGGCCCCTGCACCCATGTGGGAGACCTAGAAGAAGCTCCTGGCTCCTGGCTTCGGATCAGCTCAGCTCTGGCTCTTGTAATCATTTGGGGAGTGAACCAGCGGATAGAATACCTCTCTCTTTCTGTAACTCTCGTCTTTCAAATAAATAAATCTTTTAAAAAATGACCCTGCAGCCATCTTTCACACACCGGACATGTGAGGGTCACTCTCTGCGGCACACAACAGCACGGCGTATGTCAGTATCTCACTTCTGTGTATTGTTGAGTAGTCTTCTGGTCAGCAAGAGTTTGTTCACCGCGTCACACTGATGATTCCTATAGAACTAGGAGTAAACTAAACACAAACCATGAAACACCAGGCCTAAACCAAACTATCTTTAGTTATATGAAGTGTACATGGTCTCTAGAAAGAGGTCAAACAAAAATGACCCAACTACTGGAACAAATGATATGTGGATCAACATGCCTTCTCTCTTGTCTCCTATTGGTTGATCCTTCTGCCAAACCACATATCTCAAAAAAAATTTATTTGAAAGGCAGAGTGACAGGCAGGGAGTGAGGGAGAGGGAGAGGGAGAGGGAGAGGGAGAGGGAGAGGGAGAGAGAGAGAGAGAGAGAGAGAGAGAGGTCTTCCATGCACTGGTTCACTCCCCAAATGGCTGCAATAGTCAAGGCTAGGACAGGCTGAAGTCAGGAGCCAGGAGCTCCATCTGGGTCTCCCATGTGGGTGGCAGGGCCCATCCTCTGCTACTTTCCCAGGTGCACTAGCAGGGAGCTGAATCAGAAGCAGAGCAGCCAGGACTTGAACCGGCACTCTGATATGGGATGCCAATGTCGAAAGCAGCAGCTTAACCCACTGTGTCACAACACCAGCCACTGTTCCACACATCTTGATTACTGTAACTATAGAGGTTTTTAAAAGATGTATTTATTTATTTGAAAGGCAGAATTAGAGAGAGAGAGAGAGAGAGAGAGAGAGAGAGAGAGATGGAGAAACAGAGAGATCTGCAAGGGCCAGAGCAGAGCTGATCCAAAGCCAGGAGCTTTTTCCACGTCTCCCACACGGGTGCAGGGGCCCAAGGACTTGGGACATCTTCTGTTGCTTTCCAAGGTGCATTAGCAAGGATATGGATCAGAAGTTGGGCAGCTGGAACTCAAACTGGTGCCCATATGGGATACTGGAGCTGCAGATGGTGGCTTTACCCACTCTGCCACAGTGGCAGCCCCACTATAAAATCTTAAGATTGGATAAAGTGATTTCCCCAAATTTATTTCTCTTTTTAAAAAAATTGTTTTTAGGTGAACTCATTCCTTTCAACATCAAATTAATTTTAAAACAATCCAATCTATTTATTTGAAAAATTGCCAGGATTTTGATGAGTTTAATTGTGTTTAAGCGTATATGAGTATATCAGTTTGAGGAGAATTAACCTATTTACTATGTAAGTCTTCAAATCCATGAACATGGTATGTCTCTTTATTT